CTTTTCGTCTTCTTAAATATTTAGTTGTTAATGTTAAAGTTTTGTTCTCTATGACAAAATCCATCTTAATACTGATTAAGATGGATTTTAATAAACTACTGAGTTTAGACGTAAAAGTGCTACACCGTACCTATCTATCATAGAAATAAAATAAGTTATTGCGAAGATTAAATCCTATAATTTCTATATTCTGGATAATATAATTCGATTTCAATCAAGTTACGGGTACTTTTAATCTGTCCCTTCTTTGATATAACGCCTATCTGGTCTGTAAATGTCAGTCTAGGGCACCGATGAGCATGCATGAAAAGATTGATGACTGTAGGAATCGTAGTAATCGGCGTTCCATAGTCACTGCCTGTCGCGGAGAACCTAACGGGTAACCGGGGCTCCGGCTCGACGTGCAGGAGAAGGAACGGGGTGGTTTTTAGTCAGTAAGAGTCTGACACTCCCTCCCGCCTCACACAGGCGGGAGAAGTCATTCGATGATTTTCCCCCCTTAAAAAAATAGTATCTGCCTACCCCCATGGGATACAGGCGTGAAGTTATATATGTATGTATGTATGTTCAATCAAGTTCAAAATTTTATTTTGTGCTGACAGAAGTAAGTTTATTATATACTGTATATAATAAACTAGCTACTGCCAGTGGCTTTGCCCGCGTTCTCAGAGATAAAAAGTAGCCTATATCTTACTTCAGACTATAATCACTACCTCTGTATCAAAAAGTTCCAATGTAGGTAATCAGACAGATAGACAAAAAAAATTAATTACATTTCTGAATTCTGTGTCTATTTATTAACACCCCTACTTTTTATTTTTATAATATTTTCAATGTACAAAATGTACACTTCTGCCGTTTTACTAAATCTATGTAAGTATAGATAGACCATCTCACATACGCTGTAACGTTTAAGAACGATGCAAGTAATGTATCAGTCTTAGCGCCGGTTTCGCCACCTCCTTACAAGTACCTGATAAACTTATGTGACAAATAGTTCATACAACTTACGTTCTTAATTCAAATTTATATGGTAGATAGCGCCTAACCAGATATTGTGAAACAGGCCCTAAAACTCCGAAAACGTTCCACCAAGTTCTCGTTATTGGGGACTGAGAGACAACACACATATGAAACTACAGTTCACATGCTGTGTGACATTTAGTTTCCTTGTACCTAGTGTTGTAGAGAACTGAGGAGAGGATTTCACGAAATTTAAATAGGAACAGGAAAACAAACAAATAAATAATAAATTAATACTCACAATTAATTGAAAATCTTCCTCAATCAATCGGTAATGGAACAAAACAAAACGATTGTCTCTTGTACAATGACGTCACAGTACATCATAAACACATCAGTCACAATTAAAAAATCATTATTTAAGAATTCATTTGAATTTCAAATCTGGAACGGCGACATTCCTTTATCGTGTTTAGATATTTTTCCAGTCAATCAATGATATACAATACACTTTCTTTTATTCTAAATTTAAAATTCGTCAGCGTTGTAATTTATATTAGTTTTCTTCTTTATTCAAAATTATATATCCTTGAAACGTTATCAAAATCCTTTCAAAAGTCAAATTCCTTTCCTACGCACATTAAAATCTGTCAGTACAGCCAGCTATTTCCAAAAAAATGTGCGCGAAATCATATGTTATTTGTTTACAACTCACACACAAAATTGGCACAAATCTCCGTTCTATTTTGAAAACACACCAACACCATCGGAAAATATCACAATCACAATTTTAACCACAAAACTTTCAATGTAGTTCTATGTCCATTGCATTTAATATATGAAAATATATAAGGTCCATTTCACACGCGAGTACAATAAGAACTGCTCCAAGCCAGAATTGGACGTCGGAAAAACTGGCCGAGTAATACACAACCGCTTGTCTAGCCAGTGGAGTGAACACTGAAGTCAACATCGTGCAACGTGTTTTCTTGGCAACGCTGTCAAAATGTGTTATTAATCTGTGTTGACTGACGTTCTGCACTTTATTAGTTAAAATTATGATTTAATTATTGTTTGTTTGGGTTTAAAATCGCTCGCTTTGTTTCTTATTGTCAACTTTTTTTTGTTTGTAAATGTAGTGTTTGGTTTCGTTGTTCCAATTTTGAATTTTTGAATATTTTAGTTTATTTTTATGGTCTCGATCTAAATACTTTTTTTTAATTGATTGCACTTTTTTGTTTATTCTGTTTTAGAATATTGTATGGTTTTATTTAATGAAGATACACATTAATAAACTATTATATTGTAATTATTATGTAGGTATTTATTATGTCTACTCTGGCTACGTTTCAGTGGTTTTTTTCTGTCGATGTTATTAATTTATCAATTATGTTTTTGTTCGTGGTTTACACGTTATAATAATTCTTCTGTTTTTGTATGTTATTGAGGATATTAATTACAGACACAGGTATGACGTCGAATGTCGTTGTTATTGAAGTTAATGTCCATATAAAAAAACTTATTCTGTTAAGACTTATTTGTAAAAACTCAGGTAGATTTTGTATCACAAATTGTTATTCTTATTTTTATGACATAAAAACTTGACTTGGTAGTCGACCAATTAAGAAAAAAAAAACTAGTCAAAGATGATATTTGAATACCGAACACAGTCCATCATCAATCACGTAGCGTTCTATATTTGAAATCCAAATCTCGAACACTATAAACACGTCTTCATCTATTTCATAACCGAACATTTCAAATTTCGAATTCTTTATTCCATTTATTTAAATATCACTCTTTATTTTGTTATTTTTTTTTTAAGATCACTTATATTTAAAACAATTCACACTGATATTTAAAAATCCGTCACTTTTAATAGAGATATTTAGAAAATGGATTTGATATTTTATACATCACTTTTTAAAACTTTGTGATATTAAATTTAATGTGTGCCAACAAGTATTTATTGCTAAAACTAATAGACAACTGATTAATAAACTTGCTTCGTGATTCTAAATTTATATTGAATCAAGGTTCATACTTGTTACGTTTAAATTTGGCTATTGTCTATATTTCATTAAATCAATTCATTTAATTAAATTTAAATTAATCGTCCGTGATATTATTGTAATCGGGATTTTATTTTATTTAATGGATCGTTAGTTAAGTGGTTGTGATTTAGAGGTTCGATTCCCGTGTCGGATAAAGACATTGTGTTTTTAGAAAAAAAAGATATTTTTGTGATGTCTATAGTATCGAATACGTGGTTTGAAGTTCGATTCCTGTATCATATAAACAGTTACCTATTGATTAAAATGATAGATCTGACAATGCGCCAGTTCATAGTAGTCGTATTACTAGGTATACTATTAATTATACTAATGATTAAATGACGAGGGACACCTCTGCTTATCACCCCATGTTAAATTGAGATGAATATTCGATTTTAATGTGTTTTAGGAAATTGAATGAATGTCAAGTATATGACCTAAGTAAATAATACCAATACGAATAAATTATTTTTATTTCTTTCTTCTTTCAACTTCAATAGAAATTGCTTTTATTATTTACTAGCGACCCGCCCCGGCTTTGCACGGGTGCAATATGTATATACATACAAACCTTCCTTAAGAATCACTCTATCTATTAAAAAAACCGCATCAAAATCCGTTGCGTAGTTTTAAAGATCTAAGCTTACATATTGTATTGATTGATTATAATTATCTTAACAGTGGAATCGATTATGATGGTTTTTAAAACATTTTTTTATGGATACACCGGTAAACGAGCAGACGGATCACCTGATGGTAAGCAATCGGCGTCGCCTGTGGACACCTTGAACACCAGAAGCGTTACAAGTGCGTTACTGGCCTTTAGGGATTAGGAATTTGAGCTAAACACAATGCAAGCGTTGTTTCACGTCTGTTTTCTGCTCGGCCGTGGTATCACTCCGGTTGAGCCGGCCGAAGCATGGCTTTCCCACATTACGGGACCAGTGGGACCCAAGACATGATAAGGACTGTACAAGTTAATTAGTAAAAATTGTGGACAAATGATTTAATTGAAGCAAGTACCCACGGTTTAAAGATCACGGTTTGAACTTTAAAAAGAATGTCAAGTACCTACAATAATTTACGCAGGTAAATAAGTTATATCCGGATACAATGTACCTTCGTCAATATACCTAATTATACATAGTAGTTATTGTGTTGTTTTAAACAAAGGATAGTTACGAAACGTTGATTTTATAATATAAAGCTTGTCCGAGTCCGAGCTATGTTTCGGCATGAATGGGCTGGCTCGACCGGAGTGATACCACGGTCCACGGCCGAGCAGAAAACTGACGTGAAGCAACGCTTGCAATGTGTTTCGTCGTGTGAGTGACGTTACCGGGAGGCCCAATTACCCCCCTCCACTTCCCCAATCTCCTTAATCCCTGAATCCCCAACGATCCTCGAAACTTCTAACTCCAAAAGGCCTGTAACGCACTTGTAACGCCTCTGGTGTTCCAGGTGTCCATGGTCGACGCCGATTGCTTACCAGATCCATCTGCTTGTTTACCAGCTTTTGCCATAAAAAACAAATAAAGAGTATTCAATTTAATGTCATTTAGAGCTGTCAAGTTAGGGTACTGGGTCGGGGGTCTGGGACTGCCTCGTTGGCAGAGTGTTCGCAAGTGCGACTGCCGAGTAAGGGGTCTCGGGTTCGATTTCCGGATCAGCCAAAGTATTACTGCATTTTTAAACCATTCTCAGTAGTAACACGAAGTCTGGATTTGTGCCCGGTATATAGCAATACGCTCACCCCCTATTACATGGGACTCATAACATAAATAGTGAAAAGTGGGTGTTATATTGTGTAATGTGCACCTCTGTCTACCTCTTCGGGGATAAAAGGCATAATGTTATATTTATTTACATCTCAATCAAACCGACAAAGCTGCAAGGTGAGCGAGATTTTGGGAAAACCAGTTTAGCAGGATTTATTGAAGTTCAAAGATTAAAATTTAATTTAGATAAGTAAAGAGTTCGATATCCGCTGTATAACTAGCACTGAATGAACGAGTGTTTTGAAAAGCCGAAAAAATCCAGAAGACCTTTTGCTCGACAGTTGTAGGTACTCAGGGCAGTCTTTACCTTAACGGCACTCGGGGCCCGTGCCCACGGTCCTCATCATCAGGAGGCCCCGAACGACCGACAATATTCAATACTTTTATCAAACTGTCAAAAACGACAGTTTTCTATGAATTTTGTACGAGATTGTGTATTGTGACGTCACGTTTTTTAGCGTCAAACAGTATAAGTACTATTTTCTTGAAAAACTGCTGAGAAAATAATAAAATGAAGTCGGTTATAAAATCAATCAATGATAGTGTGATTATTTTTTAAAAATGGCTGGACCCGGGTTGTACTTGCGATATTTCGAGCAACGAGACAGTCGTTTGGTCAAAATATCAAAAATAAGTCAAACAATCAAAATGAAATGAAAAGTCTGTCTGTCATTTGTCTTACCATATCCCATGGCAGTCCACTACACAGTATATCACCACTTTCGGTAAGCCTGTAGGAGATAACAGTTCGTCGTCGTTCAAAAGTGCCTTCCTGGTCTAATCGAAATAAATGATTTTGACTTTGACTTGACTTTGACAGTGCGATGATCAGATTTATCAGAGAGCTCTGCTGCTCAGTCTCATCTTTTAGTCGGGTATATAACACTCGCGGGAAGAGTAGGGGTGGTACAAATGTATCCTACTCTGACAACACTACGGCAGTGTTCCCATATGTCATTGTCCTCTTAGTGGCCCTGTCTTGCACATGATGCACTGGTGGCATTTCACGGCAGACTTGGGAGAGGAATATGTATCAGTACCTACTAATAGAATAACATATCTGTACTGTATGTCACTTTAATTCGTCCAATGACTTCTCCCGCCCGGGTGAGGCGAGGGGAGTATTACTGTATTAGACTCTTATTGACTAAAAACCACCCCGTTCCTACTCCTGCTCTTCGAACCAGTGCCCTGCAACCCGTTACGTCCTTATAAAAAATCATGATGTTATAATGTTATGTTACTCAGCCTTTAAACCGTTTTTGAAGGTACGCTAAAGTAAAATATGTTTATTTTTCTCATAGTGTTGACATTGCCAAGTAATTCGTTACTGTCGAGATAACATTAAGCACACTTCACTTGGAAGGCATGGCTGTAATGTTTACTTCATTTTCTATTTTGGGAAATATAGATAAATGTACAAATATTATGTTTTTAGAAGTGATGGTAGTTAAGAAGTGCATAATGTTATGTTTTTAGTCTTAGGTGTTTTTTTTTAGGAGGGGAAAATCATTGAATGACTGCTCCCGCCTGGGTGAGGCGGGAGGGAATGTCCGACTCTTACTGACTAAAAACCACCCCGTTCCTTCTCCTGCACGTCGAGCAGAAGCCCCGGTTACCCGTTAAGTTCTCGACTCCGAATCGGCATCGGCCCTGTTGGGCCCCATCTGTGGTCTGATGGCTCTTTGAGGCGCGCGCGGAACGCGACGCGCCGTACGTCGGGTCTGTTTCTGGTCGGACGGAGAGCCACCCATGCTCCTATGAATATGAGCCCCTAGCATGGCTTGAAACTACTCGAGTTCCTTTTCAAACAGTTTTACGTGAGAAAGCCGTCATATTAAGTAATCTATCGGTCACACTAGTCGCGGAGAACCTAACGGGTAACCGGGGCTCCGGCTCGACGTGCAGGAGAAGGAACGGGGTGGTTTTTAGTCAGTAAGAGTCTGACACTCCCTCCCGCCTCACCCAGGCGGGGGCAGTCATTCGATGATTTTCCCCCCTTAAAAAAAAAAAAAAAAAAATCGGTCACACTAAGTATTCTATCAGCCGATCTATATAAATAAAAATGAATTCCCGTTCGTTAGTCTCGCTAAAACTCGAAAACGGCTGAACCGATTTGGCTAATTTTGGTCTTGAAATGTTCATGGAAGACCAGGTAAGGTTTAAATGTGAGAAAATTATGATAGGCACTGCGAAGTTTGCCGGGTCAGCTAG